CTAATGGCACCATGGGCGTGGCGGTAGAGCCGCTCGCTTCCACTGGTCTTGAGGATGGGCCGACGGTTTGGCCCGTCTCCGTCAGCCTCATGGACTCACTTCCCCCCTCATGAAACGGGAAGGGTCCCTACATAGACGAGTGGGTACCTGTCAGCGTATCCTCGCTCTCCAGGTCATCCCACTCAGCGTCAGCAACTACCTCGTCGTCTTCCTCATCGTTGTCATCGTCGTCATCACTGTTTGTCTCCTCTCCTTGCTCCCATGCCTATAGTTTCTGTTGCTTCTTTTTCCTCTTGACCTCCTTCGTCTTCTTCTACCACTCGGCCATGGTGTGATTCACCGCAGCCATGAGCGGGTCCTTCGGTAGCGGGGCCAAGTGATCCATAAAGACGAGTCTCTTTGGTTGGTCCTGCTATCTCAATATTTGCATCAAGGGGTCGGGAGTTCAAGTAAAAAGGAGGCACAGGGAAAGAGAACTTACGAAGTCGATGTACCCTGGTTTCGGCTGCATTGGGGGGTGCCCCGGCACCAGATACACAAAATCAAGAACGGCGCTGGCATCGTCTCGTGAAGGCTCCATCGCCTCCTTGATGCGCTGCGCCACCTTGGAGGAAGAGAGCGCTCCCTCGGTGAGCACCGTCCCATCGAGGGACACCCTAGGTGCCATCATGTGCAGGGGAAGCACGCGCCTCATTAGCGGCGCCACTCTCTGAGTATGGTAGGTGCCAATGATCCTTGATCCCTTCACGCTCCTCTCCTTCAGAATTCGGATGGCGGCAAGATGGTCCTAGATTTTCTTCTTGTCTTTATCTAGGACCCCCACTTCCTCCATGATTCTAGGACCTCTTCGATGAGGCGCCCGGTATACGCTGGCAAGGGGGTGGCTGCGTCGTCCTTGACGTAGAACCAATGCAAATGCCACCCCTTGTTGGAGGTCGACAGACGCATCAACGGGTATTCATTTACTCGGTTGTTGCGGAGCTGAATGCCGGCGCATCCCATCGGCACGCTTAGCTCTTGCCTCTTCTCCCGCTTCTTCAAGAGGGTGACAGCGAAGAAATATTGCCACAGGTCAAAGTGGGGACCAATCCCTAGGAACCCCTCACACAGGGCGACGAATGCCGCAATGTGCTAGATCTCATTGGGAGTAAGGTGCTGCAGCTCCACCTTGTAGTAATTCAGCAACCCCCGAAGGAAATTATGGGCGGGGGTGGCAAATCCCCGCTCGTGGAAGTGAGCGAAGGACACAACGTAGCCTTTGGGAGGCGACGACGCATCCTCATTGCTAGGCAGCCGCCACTCCTCAGCGGCAGTCGGCGCGCAAAGAAGGCCATGGCGAACAAGGCCCTCCAGGTGCTGGAGGGTGACATCAGATCTGCACCACTGCTCCATTGAATGATTGGGGTGGGTGGGTGCGAACTTGACGACGGCTACGATGCGGATGCGGGAGGCTCAGGCGATTGGTGGCAGAGGTTGTAGATGCAAAGGCAAGGAGGCAATGTACGAAACCCTGGGGGCGAACCTTTTGGTTTTATAGGGGTGACGGATGCGAGGAAGGCAACCGTCTGCCTGGATCCCTATGCCTGCCATGATTCGTCACCACGTCACCATGCGGGATATGCGCCCCCAATCCCTATCCTTTCCCACCAAAGTTGCGTCAAACGTTTCGCATTCCCGGACAGACCAGGACTCTTTTCTCGCAGAAGGGATATGGGTCAAAAAGCGTTTCTCTGGCCCGCCTGGGCCCAAGAGTTCGAGGGCTGGCCCAATGGTTTTGATGGCCGTCCCAACGAAGGATGGGCCCGTGAGCGGCCAAAACTCAGGCGCACGAGCCTCAAGGGAGTCTCGATCCACGATCGAGTCTCAACCGGGCTGACCCTGGACAAATCCCCGTGAATGGGATACCAGGGTTCCCTTTAAACTATCCAGTTATCAAAACACCAAATCTCACAGCCATACCCACGGAGGGTCCGAATTACCCCCCGGGCGATTCTATCCGAATCACCCGAGGCTACACCCGACAGGTGCGCTCGCGCGCACCCTCTAGCAAATCAAAACACCCCCAGGCGATTCTATCTGAATCACTCGGGGGCTACACCCGTCGGGTGCGCTCGCGTGCACCCTCTGGCAATCGAAATACCCCCCGGGCGATTCTATCCGAATCACCTAGGGGCTCGGGGGCTACACCCGTCGGGTGTGCTCGCGCGCACCCTCTGGCAAGTCAAATCACCCCCGGGCGATTCTATCCGAATCACCCGAGGGCTCAGGGGCTAATGTCGGGGACCAAATACTGGGGTACCCAAAGAGGAGGAGCTAATAACCATCAAACGTTGATGCTTCCGAACAGACAAGAACGCAACTATACTTCTTGCCCAAAGACCGAAGGTTGGCTCCGCCTCATCCGACCCCTAAGGGCTGGCTCCGCCATGCCTGGCCCCCGAGGGCTGGACTCTGCCTCACCCGATGTCTGGGGGCAGACTTCGCCTCGCCCGACGTCCGAGGGCTGGCTCTGCCTTGCTCGATGTCTACAGGTAGACTCCGCCTCGCCCGACGTTCGGGGGCTGGTTCCGCCTTGCCCGACGTCTGGGGGCAGACTCCGCCTCACCCGACGACTGAGGGCTGGCTCCGCCTCGCCCGATGTCTGTGGGCAGACTCCACCTCACCCGACGTCCGGGGGCTGGTTCCGCCTCGCCCGACGTCTGGGGGCAGACTCCGCCTCGCCGGACGACTGAGGGCTAGCTCCGCCTCGCCCGACGTCTGGAAGCAGGCTTCGCCTCGCCCGACGTTCGAGGGCCGGCTCCGCCTCGCCCGATGTCTGAGGGCAGGCTCCATCTCGCCCGACGCCCAGGGGCTGGGCTCCGTCGCTTCCGACGTCCAGGGACAGACTCCGCCTCGCCCGATGTCTCAGGGCGGACTCTGCCTCGCCCGACGTCCGGGGGCGGACTTCGCCTCGCCATAATTACACGCAGATAAGGCGGGACACTCAAGTCAACCGCAATACCGAGGACCATACCCTGCACGCCTGTAGGAAAGTACCATCAGGATATGACCAGATGGGCGCTTTAAGCCCTTCTAGGCATGTCAGAGCCCAAACAGTGTTGCGGCCGTCGACATTTATCCTACAGTGTTATGGGCGCCGGCATTTACCCTCAGACACGAATCCTGACAGAAACATACGACAACCACTACGGTCCAAAAAGAAAACTCATGTCATCTACAGTAACGAACGTGGGGCCTCTACGCCGTCTGCTCCCCATAGGGTTGCGGCTCAGCACCCTGGTGCGTCGCGCCACCCGCCGGGGCGGGACGGGACGTGACCACTTGCTGAACGAAGCCAGAGTACGACCCTATCAGGATCAGCGAACGTGCTATCTCTAGCACCGCGTGTCGTGTCAACGGGACAGGCTCAAAGGAAAAGGAAGATTCGACACCTTCGAAGGACCTTCTCTGTCTTTGATTTTTTTTCTCTTTCTCCCATCTATAATCCCTACTCCTCATTGATCTATAAAAGGGAGGGCAGGGCACCCCACTAAAGAGACGGATCGATTCTACACACCACGCACCACATAACACACAGCTGAGCAGCAACCGAGCTCTCAATACTCGTTCGACCTTTCTATCAGAGACTTGGGACATATCACTCTCTCAACCATTTGTACCCCTACTACGAACCTTTCAGTGCTAATAACACGAGCAGCAGCAGCAGCAGACTGGATATAGGGACATTCTGCCCGAACCAGTATAAACCTTGTGTCTTTTAGCACACCATCCGGACCTAACACGCAGCAAATATAAATTTACTAGTTGGTGTTTACTCGAAACACCGACAATAATAAAGGTGTGAAGTTATTTTTTCATGAGGTTTTCCTAGTTAGCTTTCTTGTTGTGGTATTTTATTTTTCATTGAGGTACGATGACTCGGTGAGTCTCAATTTGACATTTGTCTTCATATTTACCATTTACTATTTTTCAGTGCAGGCATTATATATTTGTTGACAACAAGACATATATAACGCTCCCTCAATTTTAAATTATAGGTTATTTTATTTTTTTCTAGATACGTAGTTTTTATTTACGTACTTAAATATACATTATGTATAGATATATAACAAACACTATGTAATTAAAAAAATAAAACAACTTATAATTTAAAATAAAAGGAGTAGTAATTTTGTTAGTTTAAGATATGTATATGGTCCATAAACCCTGAGACTGAGGTCTTGTTTAGATCGAGGTCGTAAAGTTTTGGGGTGTCATATTATGTGTCATATAGGGGTGTTGCATGAGGTGTTCAGATACTAATAAAAAAACAAATTACAGAATCCGTCAGTAAACTGTGAGACGAATTTATTAAACATAATTAATCAATCATTAGCATATATGTTATTGTAGCACTTTATTACCAAATCATGGACTAGTTAGGCTTAAAAGATTCGTCTTGCAAAGTAGTCGCAATCTGTATAATTAGTTATTTTTTAGTCTATATTTAATACTCTATATATGTGTTCACGTTCGATAGGATATGGTGTAAATTTTTAGTGGGCAAATAAACGAATGAGAATAAGCGTTGGCCTTCGCCGTGTTTAAAAAGAAGAATTTTTGGTTTTTGTCGTGTTCAAAAAGAAGAATTAAAAACAAGAAGAGTACCTCATCAAGAGAGAGAGAAGAGCACGAAGTTATTTTAGGCTCCAAGAAGAGAGGGGAGAAGAAAGAGGAGCGCTTGACTGGCCATGGCGACCGCCCGTGCGGAGTGCGCGCGTCTCTCGCGCCGCCACCCCTCCAAACCTTCCATTGCCGTAGCCATGCCTGATGCCTTGCTCCTCCTCCCGTATCGCCACCTGCCGTCCCATACCATCCATCCACCCAATCATCATGCATTCGCATTCCTTCCTAATCGACGGATTATTCTTCCGGCTGAGCTAGCGGTGGCGGGAGCCTTGATCGGAGAAGGAGAGAGACATAGGCGGTCCCTTGTCTTGTAACACGCGCGGGTGCCCAACATGCTCGGCTCGTCGGCGTCCAGGCGGGAGAGCAAAAGCAGCGACCTCTTCAGGGCCGCCGCCATGGCCCTCCGGGACGCCGCCAACAAGACCGCCGGCATCGAGCCGGCCAAGGCGGCGTCCAACAACGCCGCCGCCGCCGCCGCCGCTGCCGTATCAGTCAGGGAGGCCGCCGCCGCCGCCGTGCGCCACGAGGGCTGGATGGTGCGCTACGGCCGCAGGAAGATCGGCAGGTCCTTCTTCCACACGCGCTACTTTGTGCTCGATAGCAAGCTGCTCGCGTACTACAAGAAGAAGCCAAAGGACAACGTTGTAATTTGCACTTGCGGCATGATTAATTGATTGATTTCCATTAAGTGATAACCTCCCCTTACTGACGGATGATGGATGCAATTTGTGGACATATATATATGCACCCAGGTTCCGCTCAAGTCGCTGCTAATAGACGGGAATTGCAGGGTGGAGGATAGAGGCCTCAAAACGCATCATGGCCAAGTGAGTTCATTTAAGTTGCAACTCCATGTCTCCATCTCTTCTTTTTCTCCTTTTGCTTTTTTTGTTACTTGTTAATTAATTAATTTCTGGATATACGTTCTCATCCCTTCTTTCTGTTTTCTTTCAGATGATTTATGTCTTGTGCATTTATAACAAGAAAGAAAAGGAGCACCAGATAACAGTTTGTTCTATAGCTCAACCCTTCAACGTATATTTCTCCCTGTTTTGTACATACACCGTCAGATCACAAATAAACTGAATTCACAGATGGGTGCATATGACATCGAGGATGCAATGGCATGGAAAAAGAAGATAGAACTCATCATTGATCAGGTGTAGTATAAGTCTGGGCTGTACCTGTTTTTAATTTTTGCAAAAATACGATGCAGTAGCTGTAAAACATGTCTGAAGAAAGCTTGAGTTTTAACAGCAATAATAATCCTTTTCAACCACAGAGTTAGGATCTGCTATTTGCTTCTTATTTGATCCCCGGCCTATCTCATATTCTTAAAAACGAATGCAATTGAGCAATCACCTACAATGGACCAGTATTGTATCTGAACTCATTTTGGATTGCAGCAAGTTGCAACGTGCTAGCTATTTTTTATTGAACAAAACTTTTCTTTTCCTTTTTGCATTTTTGCAGCAACAGGACTCTATGACAGCTAAGAACCGTAAGGCCTTTGCTTCAGTGGACTTCGACATGGAACTTGGAGGGCAGTTTTTGTTTTCAGATCATGACAGCACGTAAGTGGCATTCCATCTGTCTGATTACCTTCTGCTAGGCCTTTCTCTGATTTAGTTAGAATCTTTGTTACAATTCTAGAGCTGAAGATGACGAGGAACGGCCCACTTTGACTCGCAGGACTACTATAGGGAATGGTAAAAAAGATCCATTAATTATTCCAAGTGAAGTTGACCGCTGTTATTTCGCAACATTTATTTTTCAGTTTTGAACATTATAGAAATCCACAATGTCATTTCTGGTGCTAGGCCCCCCTGATTCAATACATGACTGGACCAAAGAGCCTGACATTGGTGTGTCCAATCAGAATGATCCCAATCAATTTTGCTCCAAGAAGAATTGGCGACTACTTAGATGCCAAAATGGCAAGTCTTTTCATTTCTCCCCTTAGATCAATAACCCTTCCTCTTAGGATTATTTGAAGTTGAAGTTGTCGCTGTTTTGGTATTGCCAGGGTTGCGCATATTTGAAGAACTTCTGGAAGTAGATTACCTTGTATGTTCCAACTTCTTCGGTTTTTTTTTGGGTGATTTATATACTGTCTAAAACCTGATGATTTTTTTTATTTGTACTCCGTTGTGCTGTAGGCACGAAGCTGCAGCCGAGCTATGAGGGCTGTTGGTGTAGTTGAAGCCACATGTGAAGCCATCTTTGGTCTTGTAATGAGCATGGATGTAACAAGATACGAGTAAGTATGGTTTTCTAACATTCTGTTTTCCCTACCGCTGATGTTGATCTCTTGGTCTTCATTCTCCATTATAGGTGGGACTGTAGCTTTCATCACGGTAGTTTAGTTGAAGAGGTTGATGGTCACACTACAATACTATACCATAGGCTGCAGCTGCACTGGTGCCCAATGTAACTAGATTCTCAACATTGTCAACTTACGATTTGATTTTGCTTCTGACTGTTGCCAACGGATTTTCTATCAACATTAACTATACAGGCTAGTCTGGCCTCGAGATCTTTGTTATGCTCGGTATTGGCGTCAGAACGATGATGGAAGTTATGGTAATTACTTGATTGTTCTTTTTCCTATCACCTTAATTTGATGCCAGCAATGCCTTCTCTTTGACACATTGTGTGCACATATGCAGTTGTGCTGTTCGGTCAATAGAACATCCTAACTGTGGTCGGCAACGAGGATTTGTGAGGGCATTCATTGAAAGTAATTTTCCTTCGGCACATATTAAATCTTCATCTGCCTTAGAGTACGGAACACTCCAAATATAAACCAGACAAAAATGTCAGCTTCTGGTGATTTGTTTTTTCCTTTCCTAAAATTTCTGCTACTACAGGTGGAGGTTTCAAGATTTCTCCTCTCAAGTGTCGCAACGGAAGACCCCGTACTCAGGTTCAACACCTTATGCAGATTGACCTGAAGGGATGGTTCCTGAACTACTCTCTTTCCTTCCAGTATCATTCTTTGCTACAGATACTAAACTGTGTTGCAGGTATTAAAATACTGTTATTTTCATGCAAACAGTAACTAACAACTCCATCTTAGCATGAGAACAATAAACTAAGTTGTTAGTGTGACAACATAGTTCTGTTCTCCAACTGATTCATTTTGGTTCTTATGTTTCGCACCTATTCCCAGGATTGCGTGAATATTTTTCCCAAACAGATGAAATCCATATAATCCCAAGGATTCCTGTAATGGAAACCATGTTCGATGCGGATTCAGAGCCAAAAATTCATAAGCTTCAAGAAGTTGACACCAAGGCAAATAAAAACATGGGAATGATTGACGAAGAATCAGATGATGATGATGATTATCAAGTTCCTGAAGCTGATATAGAGGTGCTTACTGTACTAGACCACTCTATGAGAATACCTTTTATGACTTCTTTACTTAGTAAAAATTGTAATAATGCCCAACCCTATTGAGTTCCATATCCTGAAATATCACCTACTATTTTAACATGTTCTCCCTGCCATTTACAACAACAACAACAACAACAACATAGCCTTTCAGTCCCAAGCAAGTTGGGGTAGGCTAGAGTTGAAACCCACCAAGAGCCCCAAGTCACGGTTCAGGCACTTCAATAACTGCTTTCCAAGTACTTCTATTCAAACATAGATCTCTAGGTATATCCCAAGCTTTCAAATCTTTTTATTGCCTACCCCCGTGTCAATTTCGGTCTTTCTCTACCTCTCCTCATATTATTAGCTTGGCATAGGACTCCACAATGCACTGGTGCCTTAGAGGTCTTCTTTGGACATGGTCAAACCACCTCAACTGATGTTGGACAAGCTTTTCTTTTGGGTTTCATCTCCATTAAAGTGGCTAAGTTTTTACATTGGCTCGTCACGCCTAACATAACCCTCCTCCTTTATCAGGGCTTGGGACCTGCTATGCTGGGACACCAAAGGCGCCCCACCATAGTTCTCCCTGCCATTTGCTTTCGAAAAAACGTTTAACATGTTTTCTATCATCATACCTAACCTTGACAAAAACAAATATGCAGGAAGACCCGAACAAATCTGATAATGATACCAAGCGCACAGGTTTGATTCCCCATCTTGCCTATATTATTCTGTCGATCTATTCTCATGTCTATTATTAAGTGAGCGGGACAGGTATCATTACTTTTTGCCATAACGGTGATAGCGCATCTTTATTGCAGATGAGCCGCCAGAAAAAATTGATTTATCTTGTTTTTCGGTATTCTTCATCGTGATCCTGAGGAGAAAAGCCGCAATTGTTGGACAGTACCTGATAGCAAGATCTTTAAAGTTCAGTAGCAAGAACTTCCCACAAGACAAATCAAAGGTCAAAATCTTCCAGCTTTGTGCTTTATTGTTTGGCAGTACTTTTTTTTAAGAAAAAAAGGCTTGCATGAAGAACTTTAATACACACTTGTATCCAAGTTACAGATACCTGCAGCAAGTTATCTCATGGAGCTTGCAGCCATTGACTGGTTTAAGGACACCAAACGTATGGATAATGTTGCCAGGCAGAAGGGTTGTGTTGCTCAGGTAAACAGAAAGAACAGCTTAGAACCTTGTGAAGGTTTACCAATTGGTAAAATGACAACAATTGTTAAAAGTAGGATGACTGGACCTAATCAGTTTGTGGTTCCTTGTGTAATCCACGCCCTCGTCCAAGTAAGGCCAATGCTTACTTGTATCTGCCCCTTTGCCACTTTCTTAGGTTGCTGCTGAGAGAGGGATGCATACATTTGTTGTCAACATACAGGTAAGTTGGAATTCACTAAGACTTACCTTATAATCTTTATTATTGGTGCATTTGAAGGATTTTGGTGAAGTTAGTATCCTTTTGTAGATTCCTGGATCAACTCAGTACAGCTTGGTCATGTATTTTGTCACAAATACCTTGAAAAAGGGATCGTTACTACAGCACTTTTTTGATGGCGATGATGAATTCCGCAATAGCAGACTAAAGCTTATACCATCCGTTCCCAAGGTCTACTCTCACATAGTAGTTATTTACGGTGCAGTAGTAGTTTTGCATTATTCAGTTCCTATTTATTTAACAGTATGAAAAATTGTTCAGGGCTCCTGGATAGTGCGACAGAGTGTTGGAAGCACCCCTTGTCTGTTGGGAAAGGCTGTCGATTGTAGTTATGTTCGAGGTCCTGCGTACTTGGAGGTGAGTCATGTTTATAATAACTGAAATCTTTTGTATCTGTCTGTGGAACAAGCTATGCATGCATAGTACCTCGTTTCATCTTCTTATCCATAAGGCATGGAAGGACACAAAGATGGTGTGTTTGAGTCAACCCATTTGGGTTCGGTGTTCTGCTTAGCGAAAAATGTTTCAGGAGGTTGCATACTAATACTGCAACCGAACCCAATTTGTCTCATGTTTTAGGTGGACGTTGACATTGGATCTTCGGCGGTAGCAAATGGAGTTTTGGGTCTTGTGTTTGGTGTGGTGACGACATTAGTAGTTGATATGGCCTTCTTAATACAGGTGACTAATAACTCCCCTTGACATTTTTTTTGTTAGCATTCTGCTGAGGTCAACAATAGCACAATGCATGTATTGATCTTTGCACTGACTGACTGCTATACTCTGAACCTTCTCGTCAGGCCAACACATATGAGGAGCTACCGGAGCAGGTGATAGGCGCAGCACGGCTGGCTCACGTTGAACCGGCCACAGCAGTAGTTCCTGATCTTAGCAACACATCAAATGACAGTAGCAGCAGCAACAACGATAATAACAGCAACAACAATGGTTCCTCAGAGGATGATTCGTCCAAGAAAACAAACTGATTTTATTTTAATCTAGTATCAGGGTGTTGTGTTGGCTATCTCTTTAATTAAATCTGCTAGCTAAATTATCAAAAAAAAAAAAACTGCTAGCTAGTCACTCAAGTAAAGCTGTGTACTAACCTCAGACAGTGGAATCCAGAGAGCTCGAGAGAGGCCTTCATTAAGCTTTCTAATAAAGCCGGGTGGAAGCCTTTGATCTAAAATAGGGAGCTCTCGTTCGGCTCGACTTGTCTCGTTTGTTTCAGCTTATTCTCTCTCACAGAACACTATTGAATCAGCTGAAACCAGTCAAAACCAGCTGGTACACAGTAGTTTTGTGTACCAGCTGAACGGGCTGACATGTCTCTCTTTGTATCTGTCCTTTAATAATTATTGAGAGGCACTGGTGAGCTTAGGTTAACCTCCTTGAAGGTCCTGATACAGTGACAGAGCCCGGTGCTATCAGGGATAATTAAACAGCGGTGATTTCTCAGGAGACTGTGTAACAGCTAGGAAAGCTTTGCTTTTTTTTGTCCCTCCACTGTCACATGGATCTAGACCTTTTTTTTGTTATTTTTGTCAGTTTGATGCGTTTTGAGATGTTGTCAATGGATTTTTTGAGGCATGTTTTCCTTTTTAGCGTGACCGTTTGTAGTCGATTGCTCTGAGGTAAAAGTCATTGGCGATCAAAGTTAGCTCTTGTATCCAAACAAATCCTAAGTTTAAGTGGTTCTTGGCCAACGCTCCAAGTATTATATTTGTAACCAGAGGCAATAGCATGAATGGTAATTGTGGTTATCCTAAATTTGTTTGCCGAAACATATTCTGGACCGGGAGATGGAAATAACTCAGCATATTTGGGTAGTAATAAAAATATTAAATGACAAGTTTAGCATTTGAACTTTGTTTTTAGCCTTTGCCTTTTTGGCATTGGTTGGAGACATGCATATCTTTATTTCACCTTTGCCTTTATCTTTGAACTGCTGCTACTCAAGTTGACAAGGAAAGCATGCATGCAGTTTGGATTAGCAGTCCCAGGTTTTTTAAAAATGATGCTTTAATTTGCTTTGTTTTTATCTTTTGAGCTTTACAACTTGCTGGGTCTTGAAGGAAGGCATATGCTGTTGGGCCTGGGCCTGGGTTTGGGCCTTCTGGATGCTTCTTTGCTTCCTCTTCTCCCAAACAACCTGTCGCTGTCAGCCGATCGATCGCTGACCGATCCTCTCTCTCTCTTAAACCCTAGCTGCTGCCAACCAGAACCTGCTAGTCATCAATTTATTTATTCAATTTGATTTGATCAGTCGATCGATCCCCCATTCCATTCTCTTCTCCCTCGCGGCTGGCCATCCATCCAGGTAAACCATCGATTCCTCTTCTGCTCCTCTGTTGTTGCCGCCGGCGCCGGATCGATCCATCCCTCATGCGATTGCGCTCTTCAGTTCAATCTCACTCACGGCACAGGGGCTGCGGCTGCCTCTCATCACGGTCACGGATACATTAGATGGATAGCTGAGTGCTGATGCAAACCTTCAAATTTCTTGCAGTAGTCCCACCAATCCATGGCTTCAGCGTTCGGGACCGCCTCCACTTGCGGCATCAAGCCTGCACCTGCCGGCGTTGCGCTTGCTGCGCCCAAGAAGCACCTTTCCCTCGTTTCGACCTCGCTGGTTTCGCTTCCGCGCAAGGTGAGGCCCCAGAGGAAGTGCAGCTTCAGAGTAAACGCCGCAAAGGAGCTGCACTTCAACAAGGATGGCTCGGCTATCAGGAAACTGCAAGTTAGTTGTCTGACAAACATATAATCACTCTTGACTAGAAGACCACTGCTGCTCCTCACGTTCACGTGTGCCATCTTGGCGTTGCACTTTCTTATTACTTGATTTTCCTATGTCAGAATGGGGTCAACAAGCTTGCAGATCTCGTTGGGGTTACTCTTGGACCAAAGGGACGAAATGTAGTCCTCGAGAGCAAGTATGGCTCACCTAAAATTGTCAATGATGGTGTCACTGTGGCAAAGGAGGTGCACATCTGACTATACATTTGCCATCGTTTGTTCTTGTTCATACTGCAACCATGACCTGCTGTAACTTTCTGTGGCTGCCGAGTTGAGTTTCCTCATCTGTTCTGGTCTTCTGGGCTTGTGACCATGCACCAGGTTGAACTTGAGGACCCTGTCGAAAATATTGGTGCTAAATTGGTCCGCCAAGCTGCTGCTAAAACAAATGACTTGGCTGGTGATGGGACAACCACTTCGGTCGTCCTTGCTCAAGGGATGATTACCGAGGGTGTAAAGGTACACGCTAATATAAAACCTCATGTCTCAGGGTATCTATATCATCGCTATTTTGCTCATGTCTGAAGATCTAGAGGATTTTGCTACTTTCTCCAGGTTGTAGCTGCTGGTGCAAATCACCCGTGGTATTGAGAAAACAGCCAAAGCGCTAGTCAGCAAACTCCAAAAGATGTCCAAGGAGGTAACTTTTGGTTATGTTCTCATTCTGTTTAGGAAATACATTTCTGCATTCCTTGGTACTCTGTTTATCTTTGCCATTGAACAATCGCTTCACTACAATACAATCGCATTGAGCACCTGAATATCTGATGGCTTTAGCACACTGCACTGCATAGAAGCTACAGATAGGGTGGTTGGCTGACCCTGATTACCGTCAACGAGACGTTTACTGTTATACATCTCGATATGAGCTTCATCTGGAACAGGGCTTGCTTGTGTGTCTATATATCGATTGAATATGAGTGTAAGTCCAGAGCAATGGGCTCTTGTTATGAAGCCAACATGTTTCAAAGACACATGCTGCACTAGTTCGTCCAATTTGCCTTCTTCAAAGTTATATGTTGTCTGCTCTGCATTTTTTATTTCATTGTTTTCCTCCAGAATTATCTGATTGTTGTATGGTGTGCTATTGTGCATACTTCGTTTCCAGTTGAACTGCACATAGATTGTATAGACTTGATATTTTGGTACTTTTTACAGTCAGTTGTAGTTGTGATCATTGATCCCCATTTGAATTTTATTCATTTCAACTTTGAAGAATACTATTCCCTCTTCAAAATTTTAAATATGTTGGACTATCATTTGACAATACAGGTTGAGGACAGTGAGCTTGCTGATGTTGCTGCAGTCAGTGCTGGAAATAACTATGAAATTGGGAATATGATAGCTGAGGCTATGAAAAAGGTTGGGCGGCAGGGAGTGGTCACACTAGAAGAAGGAAAGAGTGCTGAAAATAACCTTTATGTTGTTGAGGGAATGCAGTTTGACCGTGGCTATATTTCTCCCTACTTTGTAACTGACAGTGAAAAAATGACAGTCGAGTATGAGAACTGCAAGGTTTGATGCTCCCCTTCATCATTGTACTGAAAATTGTGTAGTACTATTTATATTTAGTAATAGTAGTTTTTATGACTTCTGTACGCTTACAGTGATTTTAATTCTATCACCAGCTGCTCCTTGTGGATAAGAAAATTAACAATGCCAGAGATCTTATCGCTATCCTGGAGGACGCTATTAGAAGTGGATATCCAATTCTAATTGTCGCAGAGGATATTGAGCAGGAAGCTCTTGCGACCCTTGTAGGCTTAGAGGTGCATTGAAGATTGCTGTTATCAAGGCCCCTGGTTTTGGAGAGCGCAAGAGTCAATATCTTGATGACATTGCTACTCTCACTGGAGGTGAACTTTATCTTTAGTTATGATTTGATATGCCTTTTTTGTTTTTGGTGCCAGCTGATCATTTTCATTGGCCATCCTTCACAAAGGCACTGTCATCAGAGAAGAAGTTGGATTATCCTTAGACAAGGCAGACAATCAGGTCCTAGGAACTGCTGCCAAGGTTGTAGTAACTAAGGATTCAACAACAATAGTGGGAGATGGCACTACACAGGAGGAAGTCAACAAAAGGGTGACACAAATCAAGAACCAGATTGAGGTTTGCATTCTGAAGTCTCTTAAATTCTCTGTTCCTCTGTTTTCGTTCAAATTTTCATTTCCTCTTCTTGTGGCTCTGCTCTGTTTTTCAACACCTTTTGACAGCCCTCATTTGCTAATAGAGATAATCTGCATTCCCTTGTCTTGCATGTCTCCATAAGTCACTTTTGATTTGGAAAAAAAATGCTTTTATTAATGGTTAGTTCCCAAACATCAAATTTTCAGGCTACTGAACAAGAATATGAGAAAGAAAAACTAAACGAGAGGATAGCTAAACTCTCTGGTGGTGTTGCTGTCATTCAGGTAAAGCCCAATGTTAGACCTTAGGTGCCTCTTGGTGTATTTAGCATGCTAAGCAGAATAAAACAACTAGAACATGATATGCCTTGCTTTGTAGGTAGGAGCACAGACAGAAACTGAGCTTAAGGAAAAGAAACTGAGGGTTGAGGATGCCCTGAATGCTACAAAGGTAAATGCTATTTGTGTTGCTGAAATGCATCTGGTGTTAGGCACAGTATATATTCCCATTCACAGCCTTCTGATGCACTGTTTGCACCGTGTTGATTTCTTAAAATCCTATTTGTATCAGTCCTTGTTAGTTGATAGTTTTCTATATTTGCAGGCAGCAGTTGAGGAAGGTATTGTTGTCGGTGGTGGCTGTACCCTTCTGAGGCTTGCATCAAAAGTTGATGCAATTATAGAAACCCTTGAGAATGATGAACAGAAGGTAGGTTCCAAAGTTTAGTTGTTTAATGTCACCCTTCCCCTCAAAATAATGTTACCCTTTGATTAAGGTTCTATTTTATATTCCATCGATGGTTACCTTTTTGCCCCTATTTTTCCTTTTCAAGGTTGGGGCTGAAATTGTATAGAAGTCCTTGAGCTATCCACTTAAATTGATTACAAAGAATGCAGGTGTTAATGGCAGTGTGGTTACTGAGAAGGTTTGTGCTAAAATTGTGCCCGTTATTAGTCAGGGGTTGTGCAACTTGTGCTTAACAAGTTTGGAACTTGTTGATATTCAGGTTCTTGCCAATGAGAACTTCAGGTATGGGTACAACGCGGCTACAGGGAAGTATGAGGATTTGATGGCTGCTGGTATCATTGATCCCACCAAGGTGTGTTTCTGCAGAAGCAATGCCTTGTGTTGCTACGTAAAGAAAGATTTAGGTGATGCGAGGATTTTCTTTTGCAAAAACAGGTTGTGAGGTGCTGCTTGGAGCATGCTGCGTCGGTGGCGAAAACCTTCATCACCTCTGATGCCGTTGTCGTTGACATCAAGGAGCCTGAGCAAGCACCTGCTCCTGCAAACCCAATGGGTGGTGGCTCAGGTACGTGTGGGTTGCCTGTGGCATCCGATGGTTAGCTTGTTGAGCAATGGCAATGGTGGTGTTAATTTGTGTTGGTTTTCTTTTTCAGGTTTTGGGTTCTAAATTGTTTGGAGTTTAGGCTCCCCTTCCATTCCATTGGCAGCAGGCATGTTGCAGGGACAGAATCTTACCTTATAGTTTCGAGATATAAGTTGGATATTATTGTTGCATCAAATTGTGAAAATCTAGTAACCAAGACAGCTGAAAATAATTTTGATGAGAGGTGCTTGTTCTTTTTTCTCCTATATTGGTGTTGAAAATGTCGATACTGTATGGATTGGTCTCACTACATAGCATATTTGTGCTCGTTGTAAGGTAAGCCTGAGAGGCTGACTGAGCAGCAACCAGTGTTGAGCTATGCACTTGCCACCTTTGGCAAGACAAGTTGGTTGAGAGGCCAGCACGTCACAGCACACCGGGCACTAGTCAGTCACTGCTCAAGAAATCGCAAGCTCAATTTTAAACAGGATGTGTGGTCACTGCTCAAGAAATCGCAAGCTCAATTTTAAACAGGATACGTGTACGCTGATGTTTCAATCAATGATTCTGCTAGTCCAAGGGACATACGTTTTGTCTTCTCTGTATCTGCCAGCTGGGTAAAATTAGTACTGGTAAATACAATGCACCAACAGTTAACAGCAGCAGTAGTAACAACACATTCTTGATTCTTATATGCCTTAGCACTAAAATACACACAACCAATACCCATTACGATACGAATAAGCAAATCAATTAAATAATATACACTGATAATGATTGATTTTTGCGTCTGTATGTACCACACGAAATCAGCTAAAATAAAATCAATCAGCAAGTGCCCGCCATCTCATTCCGCTCTGATGAACGGGGAGGAGCTCATCTCAGTTGTGCTGTAGAACGATTCCTCCTGGTAGTAGTTCTCGTCTTTCTCCTCCTCCCACTTGAGAACCTCCCTTATGTACTTGAATGCTTCGTCCACAGTCTGGCGCTCACGGGCACGAGCCTGCCACACAAAAAGCTTCCGGTTCGTCTGTGCAAAGTACAAGTCCTTGAACTTCATGGCGATGTAGTAGTATGCCTGATGAGCCAGCGACTGGTGGTTGTGGTTCGTCCGCACCGGGCAGAAGTCGTTGAACCACTCACAGCTAGAGATGGGCGTGCGGTTGATCTTCTCCTCGAAAAGGTCATACTTGTTCAGAACCAGAACAAATGGAGTATCGCAGAAGCATGGTTGCCTGCTCAAACAGAGATTCAAATTTTATTGCTTCCCACACGATATCACAAACTCAAGAGAATCACTGGATTCATGGACACCATTATGCTCGAGTTATTTATTGACTAGTAAAAGATAACCTCAGAAGGAAAACGTTAGCGTACCGGATCGTAGCCTCAAATAACTCTTTGCTTTGCATCATTTTGTTCACAAGAGGAAGACTGCTGCCACTTACAGGGGGTCCCAATTGGTCATAGTCACTGAGTGCTACACAGAATATTACCATGCGGACATCTTCAAACATTTCCACCCATTTGCAGCCATCATTCATGCCTTTTGCACTAACTCTGATCAGCTGATATCTGATGAAGAAAAGGAGCACATGATTCAGATGCACTTTTTACACACGGCCAAAAGGTAAGTTAAGAAATTACTTGGTGAGAGGCTGGGAATGTGCCTCAGGGTTGTCGATATAAGGTTCAGACATTGGGCTGCGATCATCAAGTGTGAACTCGATGAAGGCTAGTCCATTTCCTTGTGTTACTCCTTCAGCAAAGATTACATCTTTCTCTGAAGGTTCATACTCATTGCTTGACACCTCAATGGCCTGCAGTGGATATAAAGAATAGTACCAAAAGTCATTCAAAAACTTGAAGAAGAAAAAAGCTCAGCTCCACAAGATACAAACTAGGTTGATCAATGTTGGAGCTCTATTAATTTAAAAGCTATCGGGTTATACCCTGCTCAAGAAGTGCTCAGCTACATCTGGGAGTAAATGCAATTCTTCCTTTCTTTTAAATGTTGCTTGTATTGCGGGGTCCTTCCACATCTCATCAACAAACGGAGCATATTCACGCGTTGCAGCAGGGAAGAATGCATCTAGGTCGCCCATTGCTATGATATCCAAAAGCCAATCTGAAAATTTCTTTAGCCTCGCATTTATGGAGTATATACAAGAATTTGATCCATTGTCTTTATTTTCATCTGCACCCAGAAACAGCTCAATGATACAGTATCTGTGTCTGGAGGAGGGAAAAAACAGGAGAGTAAATGACTTGATCATATTACCATGATGAGTTTCTTCACCCTGAGAAATCGTGTAATTCAATCTAGACAAAGCCTCTTCCTCAAAACGCTCACGGCCCTCTAGCAAAATCCCAAGATACTTGAACATATTGCTTTGGATCATCAGTTTGATACCCTCAAGCTCTTCTTGGGTGAACCTAGTCCCATACAAGTATTTAGCCTAAGACACATTAAAAATAAGATCAGCATTAAGCATACAAGAACAAATGCAGGAATGAAAACCATCGACAGGACAACAAAGATATACCCCACTGATGAATTACAAAATAACAGTGCAATCTCTCACATAGGGCCAGTTACAGAAAGTTACATCACAAGATGTGTTATAGAGCTAAAGGCATTAATGAACAGAATCAGAACAGACCTGCTTAAAAATAGTGCTCGTACCAGCACCAGGTGGTCCAAGGAGAAGAAGCTTTTGTATTCTTTTTTGGTCCAAATAATCAGGGACAGTTCTTGCTGTACATGGAATTTCATCTCTGGTTCCATTTGAATTCCCCGGAGGCACCGGCAGTGAAAATAATGCGCATGCAAAACGTGTCAGAGCCTGGTCACAGTTTAGGAAACATCATCAGCAATAAGCAATTAAGCATACCTATCTTAAGTTTGGAAAGAATTAGCATTGTTATAAAATTCCTTTTAACCAAGATACATACTGATTCCCATATTTTTCCTTTTATGTTGTTTTGTCCTTCTTCCTCGTAACGACCATCATCATAAACCCAAAAATGAGTGTCACGGGGACACTGAACATTTGCAACCTGCAAGCATAATGCAAGTGGTGAGACAAAAGAGTGGGAAAAACTCTTCAAGGCCCCCTTTGGAACAGGGGATATTTTTTTCCGGTTCCTACGTTTTTCCTGTGAAAAATGAACTGATTCCTAGAAAATTCCTGTGAAATTCCTGTGTACAGTCCTATTCTGCAGCCCCGGTGAGCTCTGTGCTGAACCGTGTGACTGTGAGCGGGAATCTTGGCTATGGACTGAAGGACTAAATTTTGAGCTAAAAGAAAGCATCACGTACGATGCTGCTGGTTACGATATGCTAGTCCTACTCCTGAACGCCAGTATACAAACGGGAACTTCTGTTTGATGAATTACTATCTTGATATCCAGAATGGTAAAGCCCTTGGATTTGAGAAAACTTCCTAATTCGTTGCAAACTGGAAAATCATTAAAACGAGGAGTGGAGGACAACAATATGCACATCAAACTTTTACAATGATCTGCTTATACCAAAAGCATTAACGATTAAACATCTAAATTGGATAAGCTGGAAGGGAACAAACATATTCCAAGTTAACTAATGTACTGGAACAAAAATTAACAGGACAGATAGGTGATAAAGTTTTTGCTAGAAACGACAAAAATGGTTCACATCACGTGGTATCAAAATCCATTAAAGCATAAAACTTAACATTTATTACATATTGGATAATACATCACTATCTGGCTTATATGATTTAGGATGGCCTATTATCAACGGTCATACAAAATGGACCTTAGCGTGATAAAGGAATACTGATAGTTGGTGAGATCAAAACAGACTACACGCACTGCAACGCTAAAAATGCCCCTTATGAATGCGGTTAGGCCAAAGGAACTCAACAGCTGAGCTCCCTCACAATATCCATCAGCGACCATAGAAAAGCAGCTCTAGAAGGGTAAAGCATGCTTGGCCAAAAGCAAGGGATGATTCCATTTGGAGAGCAAAATAAATGACAAGACCATTACGTTTAGAATTTTCAGCTCAATCTTTGTTATCTCCCTTCCGTTCATATAAACCTGGGTGTTTCAAGCGTTACTAGCATTGGCCTGAAGCTTCCCAGCGAAATTGAGATTGGAGCTAATAATCCTGTCTGGTTTTTCTCCTTCCTATCAGAAAACACCAGTTTCATTAGCACACATTCAGTAAACTCACACAGAAGCTTTGCACTTGATAGATTTACCTTTCCCCATAAGCCTGACTCCTTGTCATACCAATACTTTCCGGGCTTTAGCTTCTGAGGAGGCCGTGAACAACTTAGCAGGTCGGTTAACTCCTCTGGCCTCAACGGGCAACCATTGACAATAAGCTGCTCTGGGCGAAGCTGATTCGCTTGGCACTCCTTCTCAGCTTTCAAGATTTGCCTTACTTCCAACGGGCTGAGCAACCGCGAAAGCGTCCTCGAGTTCTTCCCTAGCTTTGACCTTTTGGACTCATCGATTGGCTGGCCGATGCAGGTGATGCACTTGCGCCCTTCTGGCATTGACCCCATCATCCTAAGGACACAATAGCTGCAGTACCTTGCATCACAAACAAGGCACGACTCTTTGCTCTCCCATTTCCTCTTCCCACAGCGATAGCATGCCCTCCTCTTCTTCTCCTTCTTTGTGACGACCACGTACTGCTCGGACATCTCCTCAAACTCCTTGCTCTCATACTTGCTGTCAGGTGTGAAGCCGAAGGTGACGACTGGAGCTCTCCTGCCCTCCTGCCTTTCAGGCCTATTCTGTGGTCCAGGTGAGCTCTGTGCTGAGCCGTGTGACTGTGAGCGGGAATCATCGCCTTCGTCATCATCGTCACTGAACTCCTGGTTGTGCAGGACTGACTCTGAGCTGCCACCAGCCTGCGCGGCCACTGGATCTGCGCAGCGGGCGATCCTGGAGACTGGGAGGCGGATGGGCTCAACAACAGGCGCCACAGGGATGCCTCCGAGCACCTGGGAACCGGACACTGGCTCCGCCGTGGGGATTGCAGGGATCTCCACGGGGTCTACCCTGGGGAGGTCGTAGGGCACCGGCGGGCCGTCGTACTCGAGGGCGATGGAGTAGTCGAGGTTGGGCGGCGCCTCGGGGATGGGAGTGCCCGGGGGAAGGATCCTCCGCATCATGTCCTCCCAGGTGCTCCCATCCATGGCCTCCGCGTGCGCCTCCGCCATCTCTCTCCTCTCTTCGTCTACCTGCCCTGGCTGCTTTGCTTGTCAACCGCCTGCCTCCTACGTCGTCATCACCACAGAGCTGACCGATGAAGATGAATCCTGCCCTTTTCAACTCAGACCACAAAGTTTGACTCTTTCCTTATTCTGTGGCACCGAAATGAAACAAACCAACTCCAATTAAGATCCTGTCAACAACTACACTAGGCAGTAGCAGCGGGTGCTCGGAACCCAGGACCGAAAGCAGAGATCTTTACCGCGAGGAACTGGGGTTCGCTTCAAATCCGCACGAGATGCAACCAAAATCCAAGCTTTCCACCACAACCGCCGAACTGAGCTTTCTAGATGGAGGGAGATCCCGGCCACCTCTTCTCTTCTCGAAATTGGATCGGGTTGGTCAGGCGAGAAGAAAGAAGCAGCGGGAGAGGATACTCCCCTCCTGCAAAGGATGCGGTAGAACGGAGGGGAAGAACTGGAGACCCGGAAGGAAGGCAAAAGGCTGCGCTGCGAAAGAAAGGGAGGTGTGGGACGGGACGGGAGTCGGGACGCCGCAGCCGCACGGCGAGGACGGAGTGAGGGGCTGACCTGCAATAAACGTGTTGCCTTTTGGACTCAAAAGGAAAGCGACGGCAGCAAACCAAACGAAACGAAACGAGGAAGACGAACCAGCCGTTCACAGCAGACAGCCAAACACACACCACTTCCGCCGCACTTCCTTTGCCTTCACCTACGACTCCCTCCATTTCGGTTCACGGTTCTCGTTTTTTCTTTTCCGGAAACACAATCTCCCCTCCACGTGGGCAGCTTCAAAAAAAAAAAAGTAAATGATATCTAAGTGAAGTTATCTTGATTTAGTGGCCGTTTGGTAGGGCTTCTCAAGCGGCTCCAGCTCCGGCTCCTGCGGAAGTCCTACCAAACGTCTCCACACAGAAGGGCTCTGGCTAAGAGCCAGGAGAAGTTGGCCCAGAAAATGAACTAGGCAGACTGTCGGTGTTTCGAGTAAATATCAACGAGTAAATTTGTGTTATTGCGCGTCTGACTCGGATGGTGTGCTAAAAGACAAGGTTTATATTGGTTCGGGCAGAATGTCTCTACGTCCAGTTCGTGACTGCTGCTCATGTTATTAGCATTGAAAAGTTCGTAGTAGGAGTTACAAACGGACGAAAGAGAGAAATGTCCCAAGTCTCATATGGAAAGGTCGAATGGGTGCTGAGAGCTTGGTCGCTGCTCAGCTATGTATGATGTGATGCGTGGTGCCTTGAATCCCCCTTTAGTGGGGTGTCCTGCCGTCCCTTTTATAGGCCAAGGGAGAGCAGGGATTACAGATGGGAGAAAGAAGAAAAATCATAGGCAAAGGAGGTCCTTCAAAGATACCGGGTCTTCCTTTTCCTCTGTGCGAGCCCCGCTGACATGGCAGGTGGTGCTAGGGATAGCCCCACGCTGGGAGCACGTCCGCTGATCCTGTTATGTCCTGGCATGGTCAGCAAGTTATCACGTTCCATCCCGCCCCGACGAGCGACGCGGTGGACCAGGATGATGATCCGCGGCCATACAGGGAGCAGACAGTGCAGAGACCGCACGTCCGTTACTGTAGATGATGCGAATTTCCTTCTGGACCGTAGTGGTTGTCGTGAGCTTCCGTAAGGATCCGCGCCCCAGGGCAAATGGCGGCGACCACAACACTGTAAGACAAATGTCAGCGCATACAACACTGTTCGAGCTCTGACATGCCTGGAAGGGCTTAAAGTGCCCGTCTTGTTACATCCTGACAGTACTTTCCTACAGGCGTACAGGGTATGGTCCTCAGTATTGCGGTTGTCTTGAGTGCCCTGCCTTATCTGCGCCCGTAGTTATGAAGGAGCAGCGCGTAGACATCGGGCGAGGCGGAGCCTGCTCTCGACGTCGGGCGAGGTGGAGCCTAGGGCGAGGTGGAGCCGGCCCTCAAACGTCGGGCGAGGCGGAGCCGGCCCTCAGACGTTGGGCAAGGCGGAGCCAGCCCTCGGGGGTCGGGTGAGACGGAGTTTGCCCTTAGACGTCGGGCGAGGCGGTGCCAGCCCTCAGACGTCGGGTGAGGCGGAGCTAGCCCTCGGACATCGGGCGAGATGGAGCCCGCAACCTTGGTGGTTTGGACGAGGGCGGATCCACTAGGAAATGTAGTTGTGTTCTTGATCGCTCTGATGAATTAGCGTTGATGGGTATCAACTCCTCTTCTTCGGGTACTCTACTTTTGGTCCCCGACAGTAGCCCCCAAGCCTCCGGGCGATTCGAGTAGAATCGTCTGGGGGATGTTTCGACTTGCCAGCGGGTGCGCGCGAGCGCACCCGGTGGGTGTAGCCCCCAAGCCTACAGAGGAGTAGAATACTCATTCGGAGGTTTTTTCGACTTGCCAGCGGGTCCGCGCGAGCGTACCCGGTGGGTGTAGCCCCCGAGCCTACGAAGGAGTAGAATACTCCTTCGGAGGTTTTTTCGAAAGGGAGGACTCTGCGGGCCTTTGCTTTCTCTTGTCACCCATGGCGTGCCTTGGGGATGGTGATTCCCCTTTTGCCGAGGTCGGACCCTTCGCGGGTGTGGTCGTGAGTTTTGATGGTTGTTTAGCTGGATAGTTCGATTGGGGTCCCGGCATCCCGTTCGCGGGGATTCGGCCAAGGTAAGTTTTACTGAGACTCAATCGTGGGCCGATATGCCCGTGGCGCTCGTGAGCCTAGGCGCTGGCCGTTTGCGGGGTCCAGCTCTTTCCACCCTTTGTAGGGGTGTTTGGAGCGGCTGTTGGACCCGTTGATGGGCCAACCGTCGGACTCGTAGGCCCAGACGGGCCATAGATGCGCTTTTGATCTATATTCCTTTTACTCGTAACGAGTCCCAGTCCGCCCGGGGAGGCGAAAACGTCCGGCGATTTTCCCGCAAGAAAGGATAGGGATTGCATGCGTATATCCCGTGGCGTGACGTTGTGGCAGATCGTGGCAGGCACGGAGATCTAGGCGGACGGTTGGTTTCCTCGCATTCGTCACCCCTATAAAACCAAAGGGTTCGCCCTCAGGGTTTTGTACTTTGACTCCTTGCCTTCGCATCGGCAACTTCTGCCGCCAATCGCCTTAGCCCCCCGCATCCACATTTTTGCCGCCATTGAGTTTGAATCCTCCCACCCCCATCTTTCAATGGAGCCATGGTGCCGCTCTGACATCACCCTCCAGCACATGGAAGGCCTTGTCCGCCACGGTCTTCTCTACGCATGGACCGCCGTCGAGGAGTGGCGGCTACCCAGCGAGGAGGACATGCCGTCACCGCTCGATGACTACATCGTGTCCTTCGCTCACTTCCATGAGCGGGGATTCGCCACCCCCGCCCACAAGTTTGTTTAGGGGCTGCTGCACTGCTACAAGGTATAGCTGCAGCACCTTAACCCCAACGGAATCCAGCACATTGCGGCGTTCATCGCCCTGTGTGAGGGATTTCTGGGGATTAGTCCCCACTTCAACCTGTGGTGGTACTTCTTCGCCGTCACCCTCCTGAAGAAGCGGGAGAAGAAGCAGGAGCTGAACACGCCAATGTGATGCGCCGGCATCTAGCTCCGCAACAACCAGGTCAGCGAGTACCCGCCGATGTGTCTGTCGACCTCCAACAAGGGGTGGCATTCGCATTGGTTCTACATCAAGAATGATGCAGCCACCCCCTTGCCAGAGTTTATCGGGCGCCTCATCGAAGAGGTCCCGGACTCATGGAGAAAGTGGGGAGTCCCAGAGTGTCGACGGAATATCATCGGCAGTCCACCGAGGGGCACCCCGCGATGGTAGATTGATCGGTAGAGGAGCGTGTAATCGAGAACAAGAAGGCAACAGAGACACACGAGTTATACAGGTTCAGGCCATCGGTACGACGTAATACCTTACTCCTATGGTCTGTTGATTTGCATTAACTATCGTATGATTTGCCGTGAATTCGTAGGGGGTCCCTGCCCGCCTTATATGGTCCAGGGGGCAAGGTTACAAGTCGGTTAGATCTGAGAGATAACCGGAAAGTAATAACAGATTACAAGAAACATGGGATCGTATATATCCTATCAGATCTCGTAACATCTTTAGGATATCCTCTCCGTGCCTTGCGGAGGTCGCCAAACAGTAATCGTGTGCCCGCAAAGGCTCTTTCTTGTGGGTCAGGCCTGAGGCATAGCCCATGTGACTCGCCAGGTATCCGGGTCGCATTTCCCCCAGCCTAGTCCCCGAGCACCTTGTACCTATTAAGCGCAACGCCGTCTTGAGACTTTCCGAGCAAAAGCGATCCAAGACCGAAGCTGTCCAAATCGTGGTCCCGACCACCACCATAAGGAGCAAACGATCGATCAGTTGTGAGCAGCAAACACGATGTAAAAAAAACATCGCCGAGCAAAGGTGTTCCGGTCACGGCTTGTCATAAGGGTGTAAGGAGCTCAAGTCCAAAATTAAAAATTCTTGCATGGTAAAGTGAAGTGTGCCCACTTAGAATCCGAATACAATGGTAAAGATACCTAGTTTATCCTTTGGATGCTCGGAGTCTTTCAGAAAAATAGACACATTCACCGCAAGGTGAAGTGTGCCCATTTAGTCCCCGAGCACGACGGTGGTGACGTAGTCACGTGGTGCCGAGCTCAAAAATTAGTGAACCGTCCAAAGCGGTAGCAGCGGTCCCGAGTTTACAGGCGTGAGATATCGGATAAATCAATTTGCGCGGCGAGAAATTCGAGTAACGTTCGCTCCAGATTACCATTAAGCCTCATTAGAATGCGGAGAATTCAAGAAAGTGGCGGCGATAAATCAGCGGCGTGGAGCTCGTGGACGCGATAGCCCAAGTTGCGCCCATCAAACCATTTTGGAGGAATCGATGTGGCGGCCGATCATGGAACGGTTTCCCAAAAACCCTCGAGAGTTAAGGCGAGTGGGGGCGCTTTATAACCGCGCCGCCACTCATATCACCTCCTACCTCCGTCAAACCACCACCTTCTCGCTTCAATCCCTCGCAGGCTTCACCTT